AGAAGAGAGCGGAGCGAGTTCGAATGCCTTACTCGTGCCCTATTTATAATCAAAAGCTGCTCCTAGATCTGGGATTATCAACTTTTTTTTTTCTTTTTTTTATTTGTTTTCTGATTTTAATTTTATAGAAAGTTTCTTTTGTTATGACAAACGTTAAACAACCTTCTCGTTTGTACCCTCTTTCTATATTTTCGAGCACAGATTTTTATTTTAGTTATCTAACGTTATTCAATAATTAGATGAATTCTATTTTTCAGTTTTTTTATTTGTTAAATTTTTTGTTAGATTAGCTATTAATGATGTTTGAACCTTTTATTTTTATTTTTTTATTTGTTTTCTGATTTTTATTTTATAGAAAGTTTCTTTTGTTAGACAGCGCCAAACAACCTTCTCATTTGTACTCTCTTCCTATATTTTCGATTACGGATTTTTTATTTTAGTCATCTAACGTTATTCAATAATTAGATGAATTATATTTTTCAGTTTTTTTATTTGTTAAAATTTTTGTTAGATTAGCGATCAGTGGAGTTTGAACATATGTCGTCATGCAATAGATCAACACATTTCCACCAGTATGGTAAAGCCACTTGCATATTTTTCTGTTAAGTACTAAAATTTTAATAACATTAGTTAAGAGAAGTGTTATTGGCACTCCAAAAATCACATTCTACACTACTCACAAATGTATTTTTCTTTTTAAATATAGACAGTTTGGAGTGTAGAATGAAAATTTTAGAATGTCAATAACAATTCTCATAGTTAAAATGGATTAAATAATTTATAATTTAGTTAAACTTAACAATCAAAATGATCAAGTAAACGGGAATGCATGGAAAAATTGGTAATAATATATTTTTTATTTATTTATGGTAATTATTTTATTTATATTGACACTAAATCCGTGGTGTTTTTTAACTATTTTGGAGTGACGCGCTTGTTGTGGGTTGTGGGTTGTGGTGGTGGGATGATGGTGGGTTTTGGGCGACGCGGTAGGTGAGGGCATCTGGTGGGGTCCACACCAATATGTTTGGGGAGTTGGTGGAATCTGGAGAGAATTTTTATTAGATTTGAAGCTGTGGAGTTGGAGGAGTTATTTTGTGTGGTTATCTGTTAGCACCAGCCTATTGCTTTGAGTTACCTCATAAAAATTTAAGTCATGTAATACCATAATTAGACCATCTTCAACCCTACTTGTAAATGAAAGGAAACTTGCTTTGTTTGTTCAAGTTGTGGAAATGAGTGAGACATGTTAGTGTATATCAGTATGGTTAGAGATTCGAAAATTTTTAACAATGAAAGAGTATCAGTAAACGAAAAGATTATTGGTGTAATATTTTTCAAGGTTTAGATAACACAATCGGTGAATTGAGCGGTTGTTAAACATCTTCATAATAAATTAAAAACGACAACGTTGTTTTAGTTTGAACACTAACGAAATTTGTCCGTGCATCCTAAACTGATTTGTTATATCATAGTTGTATGTGGTTCTAAAATGTGAATTTATCCACAAATGTAAATTATTTGATTAGTATAGTTATCATTTTCAAGAAAATGGAGAGTAAGTTTCACAAAATTATTTATCGGTAAATTTGTCTTGTGAGAGTGCAAGAGTAGGAATACGTAGACCACCTACTCAAGAGTCAAATCAAATGACGGCAAGTGTAAGCCACCCATGATTGGTGCTGTATTGAAAAGTACACTACCTTCATAATGCATACAAACCTAGAAATGTTTCCCAAAAAAAAAAAAAAAAACCTAGAAATGTTTCCCAAAAAAAAAAAAACCTAGAAATTTTAGATTTCATCAGAAATCAAATTGTCGGGACCTTAGAAATTTTCACATTATAATCATTTATTGTAAATCACATGATTAGAAATTATTTTAAATTTTTTATTTAAAATTGAACACAAATAATACATAACGAAAACTAACCATGATAAATAGCTTAGATGTGAGCATCATTAGAATCCCTACGAATAATCCCAAACCTAGCTCTCCCAATTGAGTCAGCATTATCAGTTTGTCACGCTCCCCAACAGCGTTTGGTCCAAACATCCACAAGCATTAGTAAAGTTTTCCTAAATTTTTGGTTTTTTATTTTAGGGAGTTATTATTACTACTCCAAAATCCTCGTTCTACCCTCCAAATTTTTTATATTTAGAATGAAAAATACATTTATGAATGATGAGTGTAAAATAAGATTTTTGAAGTGTCAATAATATTCTTTTAAAAAAAAAAACTATATATATATATATGAGCAAACGACAGTCAAATCAAATTAATTTTAAAATAAAGATTCAGAATCAGAATGCAGATGAGAAAATACGCTGTTGTCGTCGGATTGACTTAAGTTTGGTAACGTGTTATTTTGTGTAACTTGTAATGCTGTATAAAATTGGATGAAAATGATTGTACAAAAAAAAAACAAGGGAGAAAGTTGGTGAGTTCCTTTTTTTTTTCTTTTTTTAATTTTTAGCTCAGAGTTGGTGACTGAAGTTTGTGGGAGGTTGGTGGCGGGCCAACTTTTGCACTATTGTTGGGAGACTAACATTTTCCTCAATTAATTATTAGTTAATGCACTAAATATTGTGTGAATTACCAAATGTATTCTTTGATTAGTATGCAAAAATGCTGCGGGTACTTGTTTTGTTGCTTAGCGAGTTGGTGGAATGGGATCAGAATTTATACTTAAAACGCACGATAATATTAGTAAATTATAACATGAGAGTGCCACGTGATTTTTATTTTTCTAGGATTTTTTGTTAAGCTTTTCAAAATAATAACCTCACTTCTAAACAATTTAAATTTCTATTTTGTTTGCTCCTTGATTATGCAATTGGTGAGACTGCTATTTTGATTCAATGTTTAAAATATCAATGCAGTAGAAATATGGATATGAAAAATTTCTGGAAATATCGATGGATATATTGATAGTAAATCGATATTGGTTGTGTCACATTCCGGTTTGGGGCGGAACACTTCCCAGGCCCGCTCCACCACCGTAGCACGATATTGTCCGTTTTGGGCTTATCATTCCCTCACGGTTTTGTTTTTGGGAACTCACGAGCAACTTCCCAGTGGGTCACCCATCATGGGAGTGCTCTGGCCACCTTCTCGCTTAACTTCGGAGTTCCTACGGAACCCGAAGCCAATGAGCTCCCAAAAAGCCTCGTGCTAGGTAGGGATGGGAATATACATTTAAGGATCACTCCCCTTGGCGATGTGGGATGTTACAATCCACCCCCTTAGGGGCCCGACGCCCTCGTCGGCACACTTCCGGCTAGGGATTGGCTCTGATACCAACTAACACACCCCGTCCCGAAAGAGGGCATGCTGGTTACGTCACTCTCACATGACGGCCAGCATGCCCTCCTTCGGGACGAGATATGTCTGGTTGCCTTCAATTGAATTTTGCTAAAAAACTGTGGAAATTTAAATGAAATTTTAAGGAATGTCAAATATTGGTTTAGACGAAATATAAAAATTTATCTGATATTTAACTCATATGTCAGAAATATAGACAAAATATGTCGATTTTAGTCTAAATTTAAGAGATTCTCTAGTTTTTTTACAAAAATATCAGCCGTAACGAAGAAATTTCAAACACTATTTTAATCTTAAGTGTAGCATAAGTAACAATCGTCTTTGGTATTGCCAATAACGTGTTATAATCGAATCTTAATGAATACAATCTTAAGAGTTCTAGGTAGTAGAATTTTTTCATCATTCTTTTCTTGTAAAAATAGATAAAGTTAATGTAATTTCTTCAAACGGGCAACTCATTACAGTTTACTGTTTTAGCTTAGGTCACAAACATTTTAATTAGAGACATGGTTTGACTTTAATCTTGTATTCAAACTTAAATATGAAAGATTTGTTACGTTTAGTATTTAGTCTCAACTTACCTTAAGTCAAATGATTGAATGTATTAAAAATTCTTTAGGTATAAGCAATGGCGGATTCAGGATTTTAAGATCGGGGGGTCCCAACATAAAAGCTCAAAAAAAAAAAGGACTAATTTGGTTCCATATCACTATTTTCTATTGAAGTTGGTTTATTGAATAAATCAAGATTAATCTCAAGGGTATTAAACCACAAATTCTCCTCAGTAACACAACGCAATTAGTGACTCTATAAAGATAAAATTTGTTAATGTAACATACATATTATTAATTGGGAATTGGGACTAGAGTCTAGGATTCAAAAACTTATATGAATTTGGAAGAAATAAAATTAGGCAGCTAAAGGCGGTGGAACGATAAATGGTGGTGGGGAATAGGGTAACTTGGGTTGAAAATTGGAAGGTTGCGACGATTGGAGCTGAGAATTCTTAAATATAATTTGGGGATACTGGAAAAGACCAGGGTTCTTGGGCTCTGTAGATAAAACAAAGATATTTTAGTTTTTAAATTCTTTATAATTACCTAGCTCAAAAATGCTATCGTTTTGGCTAAGTCTTTTAAAACAAAAATTAAAACCTCTTCTTCTTCTTTGTTATAAGCACTACTGCTTGCACATTCATGGAAGCAACAAGCCTCTCCACTGCACTTGCCCAAATTGTTGGAGGGTCTCGAAGGTTGATCACAAGTGTTTCTTCGGGCTTCCGAATGGTCCTGAGACTTCCCAAGTCCCTATATGGATCCGCCAGTGGGTATAAGTAAAGAGTGATACCATGCCAGTCCCTCTATCCCATTTTTCGACTCACTTCATAACTAAAATATAAATGACAAAGTTATATAAATTGGTTAGAAAATAAGCCACAAGTATAAACATGGTAAGCGGTAGAAAACTAAGAAAAAATATAAGAAAATAAAAACTAATGAAAATGACTTGAAAACTTTGAGTTTTAATGATAATGACAAAATAAAGGGTAAAGTGAATAGTAACATGATTGACTTTTTAGTGTAAAAAATATGATTTTTCCTTAAAATGAATAGTACAAGAAGTTTTTCATTAAAGTTCCCTATAAGAAATCATTTTGACTGAAGTTTTCAGGAAAAGAAGTTGAATTTGAGTGCGGAAAATTAAGCACACTGCTCTAATATCTAAATGCGTCTAGATTTGCAATACCTGAATTTTAAAACCGACCCACGTCTCTTGTAAACTTTGAGCTTATTGTAATTAAATATTAACATAGTCCATTAATATGCTAATATGACCAGTCGGATACCACTTTTCCATCTGATCCTATCGTCATGCTTGCAAAAGTTAATATGAAATGACACTAACGCCCATTAGAGCGACAAAATTAACCCTTCTTATTACTTTCTCACTATCTCTCGCCCTAATTACTTTGTCTGCCAATAGCTTTGACAATCTCAACAAATCACCCCATAAAATCTAACTAATTAATAAATCATCCACCACGACCCCTATATACACTAGCTTGAGCTCCAACCATTGTATTGTATCGTAATAAATCTTCAATTTTTAACTATTTCCAAATTTCTTGCTCTACTTTCTCTTCCTATTTCTTCAGTTCTCCTCCTACTTCTTCCTCACCTGCATTTCACGTATGAGATTTCCTGGTTAGAAACAACGGTTTCAGATATCAATGTCTGGGATCGTTATAAGATTGTGGAATTTTCCAGTAGTTAGAGTCTTGGTGCATCCATGCCTCTCAGATCTCTCCAAAAACCTTTGAGTTGACTTGTGTAAGGGCTAGCTATGTTTCCCTGAGGGATTGTCTGAGACCGGTGCCGTGCTCGGTAGTAGTCTGGCTTCTAGAAGAAAACGGTCGGTAAGAGTCTAAGAGACAACAATTTCGGATATCTGCTCATGCATAATTGTTTACATTCTTTAACGTACCACAGCTTTCTTTTGCTAAAGTTGTTTTGTGTTGAGTTGAACTAGTAGATTGGATAAGTGCAAGATCATTGGCTAGCTTGGGATAATCTGTGGAGTGGGTTTTCGGGACCTCTACGCTTTCGAATCTGGACTTGTTAGCAAAAGAAGAGTGCCGATTACTGCAGTCCCCAACGAGTTTTGAAAGAAAAACATTTTCCCTAGTTCCTCTTTTGGCATGCTACTTGGGGATCTTCCCTTCGTAGTTTGTGTTGTTAGAGAAATATTTTGTGAGAGAATTCTTCAGTTGGGAAGCCGAGCATGTCAAATTATCACAAAGATAGGCCGAAGGTCCCTTCCAATAACACTGATATTGTTCCCATCTTGGTAATTACTACCTGCACAATCCGTCATGTGTGAAGTTTTATTTCAAAAGACTCAGTATTAGTTCGAGTGGGGTTAGGATATTTAAAATCTTATTTTCTCATATATATAGTCGATGTGAGATATTTCGATGTAGACGTAGGAAATGGTGTCTCTATTAAGGTTCTGGAATGATAGGTGTTGTGCGCACATAAACACAAATGAATACGAGAACAATTGTGAGTGAAACAAATAACAATAGCAAAAGATAAAGAAAGGAAATCAAACAAGAACACTAAGATCTATATACTAATTTGGCGTTAAAGTTTAAGTTCAGTTTGAAGATGACGTATTAATGATTTTTCTATGATGAAGAGAGCTATTTTTCTATGATGAAGAGAGCTATAAGGCGGTTCTTTTTCTATGAAACACTTTAACTTTATAAATACATATCTCTAATAAAAGTATTTCTAGGAAAACAAATTATGAGAGGCTTTTGGTTAATACAAATCAAAATTCAGGTAAAAGGGAAATAAAAGAAAGGAAAAGTGATTAAATATAATCATCATCTACAAGTAAAGTTTTATTTCTTTGAAAAAAAACAATTAATTAAAGTTTGATTTGGGGATCTGAGATCACATTGCTATACAAATAATATGTCGGTGACGGTGAGGGAGAAATTAGTTCAGCTTTGAATTGTATGGCTTCGGCAAATGCGGCCAGATTCAGCTGGGAGGGACCGAATAAGAATAGCGTACATGCACGCACACTAGGTGTCGGTAGTACTTGGAGTTCTTCTGCCTTTGCCCAATCTCCATCGAAACACGCACATGCAATAAGATTTACAACTTGCATGATTTGGAAATTTAAGGCTGTCTCGTGGTTTTGAGTGAACTAAAATCAATGCCCACGCTCCTTTTATTTTTGTCAGGGCCAAGTGAAGTTCACGTTTTATCATGTCACATGGAGATCCATTACTGCAGTAGGGCAGTGGACTGCATGGCCTTGTCTTCGTCCCTCGCGGCCGATGCTTGGGCTCAAATTGCTTGCAGCAGTTGTCGTTTTCCATTTATAGACATTTTCATTTGGATTCTCCTACTTAAATTATCAACTTGTTGTACTCAGTCCAAACCAACGGTAACATTCACTCATAAGGTTTCTTTGAGTGATTAGGAGTATTAGGTATTTTAGGTGTTTTAACCGTTAGATTCTTATTTAAAACATCTGGAGCACTCAAGAATTTTTATATATACATATATGTGTGCAGTCCTATAAGGGAAAGAATCCTCTTTTTTTGTTAAAAAAAAATGGGGATTAGTTGTGGGACCAATTCCACATCGAACTTCACTAATTTGAACAATTTATTTTATTAGTCCTGATTCAAATATCATCTATGCAAAAAATCAATTCAATATGAAACTATAGTGTTCATCAATTTCTTTGAACTCAATTAGATTCCTCAAATATTTCCGATTTGGCTAATATTTTATAAAGATGAACTATGAGGTGCAACTTGAAAATAGACGGTTTAGATCATCGAAGTTCAATGTGGTGTGAGCTCCCACAACTAATCCTTATATAAAAAAAATAGGAATCCATTTCCTTAAAGAATTCGTATATGTGTGTGTATATATTACAGATTGGGAAGTTTACCTACCCCAAAACCTTAGTTAAAAGAGAGGTATTTTCTTGCCATTGATTCACCACATGTAAAACTTCTATTATGGCTGCGTAGTTCATCTTTTGAACACGTGACAAAAATTTATTGGATGGGTGATGCTACTAATTATGCCTATGTTGCAAGAGAGAATCTATCCAGTCAAAGATGATTCCAAGCTCGTCATTGTTGTTGGAGAACAATTTATAAACAAAAATAACAGAAATACAGAACTTGAAATACTTATACTTTATTACTAAAAAATACTTGCAATACAAAATGAAATTACACAATAAATATATAAATAAAATTATACTAACTTGAATGAATCAAAGGTAGAGGCTAGCGCAAAAGCTATGTCCTTCAAACAGTATTTTCGTCTCACTCTTGTGCTTATGGTTCTACAACATCTGCTCGACTAGGATACAACTACCTAATTCTACAATCCGCATTGGACTATAGAATTCTAGCGAATTGCTTTGTGTGTTTACTCTTTTGAAAGTTTGTACGGAAGAAAAGGAGGAAGAAAAAGATGATCTACAATGGAAATGAGACTCCAATTATATAAGTTCTTTGATTATGGTTTGAATCACCTTTGATTACGATAAAAATTAACTCTCGAAATCGATATTGAGCTATTATGAGGGTGCCTCGGAGTAGCGATTCTAAACCATAATCAAGGGTATTCATCGCTTTCGAGAGTTAATTTTTATCTTATTTTTAGAGGAAGCCAATTTTGTATGGATGCTATTTCTTCTCTGCCTCTCCCAAATGAACCTAAAGTTACAAATTCGTTCTCGTCCTTGGGCTGTGACCTTGGCTTTTAGCTTTGTCCTAGTTAACTCAAATTGAGCTTGACCATTCATATGAACCTAGGATTATGATTCACTTTGAGTCAACTCCAATGCAAATATCAAGGACGAGATATTTGACAGTTTCCTCTGTTGTTCGGATGATAGGCTTTCAGCTCTTAGAAATTGTTGAACTCTTTTGTTTCTGCCATTGGTATAAAAATAATATATTGCTTGTGGTCTGTTGTTATGTCAAAGTTTGGGAAGGTTATCCTTCCTTCGCAGCCCTCCCAAAATAAAGTTTTAAATGTACTGTGCTTTTTCATAGGACAAAAGTTTAAACTGCAAAGGCTTTATGGTAAAATAAAAATATGTGCAAATTTTTATCTATATGCCATCGTTTTTTTTTTTTTTCATCAAACATTACGTGGCGATGTATTCATACGATATAGGTTGCGAGATGGTAAAAATAAGTCCTAGACGTTGAGTTGGTTTGCAGTTGCTGCTTCTTGTTTCTGCAAGAAAAAAGCTAGGATATGGGGGGTGGGTGTTTGTGTTTGTCCTTTCTTCCTTTGAATCGAGGGTTGGCTCCTGTGACATGCACTGAAGGACTAATCTAGCATAATTCCTTATATAATTACGAAAAATACATCATTACAGACGTATAATTTGTTGAACAATCAGCAAAATATCCATTAATCTTTTCTTGTGCTTATTGTTTTAAATACTAAATAATGATACGTGTAAAAGATGTCTTCGTTTCTTTTAAAGTTGCGCACAGATTTTTCATAGTAATTATTCTAGATGCAACTGCGAATTGACCAAAAACCATTACTGATAGTAACCCTTTTTTGTATCAGATTGATTTTCGACAAAGAGCGCACGTCAGCTTGTAGGTAGGTATATGGACCAGATGTACATCAAATACCTAAAGTCACCAACTCACCTTAGAGGATAATTCACGGTTGGTGATCTATGAGACTACAAAAAGGAAAAAGTGTCTTTTCAACACCAACCATTGGTTGCTCCCTTTTGGTTTTACTAAATTGTCCACTAACCCACAGGAAAATGCATCCTCCAAACTCTTAACACTTTTCTAAATTTTCACTCTCTGTTTTTATATTTTTACTAGCGATATTACTGTTTAAGTTATAAAAAAAGAGAGAGATAGTTTGAATCTAAGATGTAATGGATTCATAATAATGTAATTACGACCCATATTATAAATGAAATAAAGAAAGAACTAGCTTTGAGTTGGTGATAGGTGTTTCTATTGGCCGGAGGCATGCTCAAATTCAGCTCATGTGAATGTGATAATAATATATACTCGTGATTGAGTTTGATATGTGTGTGTGGCTAACTGATAGTGGTATACAACTTTGCTGTGAGTGTATTAGTTCGTTAAATATCTTCATAAATATTATTCTTTGGCGAAAACCTAATACTATTAATGAAATGGACTCTTCAAACTAGAGCGTTTACTGGTTCATCTTACTTGGAAATCCCCTCATTAATTGTTTTATGAATAGTTAGTGCTGCTTTTTGAACTTGAGGTTGCTCATATCATTTGAAGGATGATAGAGATGGTCATAGCGAATGCATCAGCTACATGTCAACATGACAAAATGCTAACATTCGTTTATTTTTTCCCCAATAGAAAATGCTAATGTGGATGCCACAATGTTTATGATTTGGGCCACTTGGAGTTCTCTTCCATCCTCAATGCCCACCACACTTAAAGGCCTAAGGGTGGCCTTGTTAGATAATGAAATCAATTTTCAAAAGATTATTGTTTCGGTCCGATGAACTATAATAAACCCATGCATGTTGAGTTGGATCACAAGTGTAAGGTGGCTTGCAAGCCAAGGAGGAACGGAAAGGAGGCGAAAACGCAAAGGATTTGCAGTTGGGAAGGTGATAATACACTAGGGGGTGTTTGTTTTCCCTCACTAAGGTTCATTGGAATGGACTGGACTAGACTAAGGGTTAGTCTAGTCCCGTGTTTGGTAACAGCGTGGCCTAGGTTTAATGAGACCAAAGGGGACTTGCCTACACTAAATGCTTCACTAACCGGTCCTAGCGAGGCCCCCAAAATTGGACGGACTGCTAAGAACTTTATGCAACTTTGCCCTTCCCATCTACTTCATCTTCCTCACTTCGTCCCTCTGCTTAGCCATTGCGCGCATCTTGGCTTCTCGTTGTTCGAGAAACCCAAACCAAAACTACTTCTTCCTCAATTCGCCCATCCCGTTGCGGGCATCTCGGTTTCCCGCCGTTTGGAGAAACCCAAATCAAAGAGACCACTTGAAAATCGATTGGCGAGATCCATAAGGAAGGAGGGTCGTTGTTTGGAAGCTCCAATGTAGAAGAAGCTCCGATTCGAATTGCATAACTCCAATTCTTTAAAGCTCTGCAATAACTCCAATCCCTTGAAGCTCTGCACCATATGCAAAGCCTTTTCAAGAAACAAAAAAGAACAAAAGAGCAAGAAAAAGTTCGAATACCCCAATGCCTTGAAGCTTTGCACCAGTTGTGGAGCAACTTTTCCAGAAGAAAAAAAAGGAACAAAAGAGCAGGAAAAAGGGAAAGCATTCGAGAATTCTAGAAAAAGTAAAAGAATTTTTTTTTATTTTTTATTATTCTACTTCTTAGTCTGATACTGCACCAAAGACTTCATTAA